TCCCTGCTGTTCCCAAGGGGGGAAACAAGGGAGAAAAGACTTGAGAAACCAAAGGAAAGGAAACATGACAGCAGAACAATGAACCTGCCTGGCTCTCCCAGGGAGAAGGTTACAGCTTCCATTGAAAATGTCCTTTGAAGGTAGTTTTCACTATAAACAGATTTTGCTGCCATGTCACAGGAAAGCTGGGAAGGAACCAAATCAAAACAGACTGGAAACAATTCCTCAGGAAGAGCTGCTGAGCAAAGCCCCCTTGCTAAGTGGCTGGTGCCCCCGTGATTTCAACTGCTCCAGGTGCAGCCCCAGGATCCGTGCATCCTGCAGACTGCCTATGGGAGGCTTTGTGCCTGCAGATAGACCTGGCAGAAATGGCCTTCCTCTCTCTCACAGGGAGATGCTGAACTTACCCTGTTCCCTGCATGGTGCATTATCGTTGTTTTTGAGTGAAGGCTCAGAAATGCCATTAATTTCTTCTCACTCTGTAATTCCCATGACACCCAGGTCAAGCCTGTATGAATTTCTCTTTGTAGATTAGTTTAAAGAAAAGTCCTTCTGCCCTGTTTTTTACCCTCGTTTTTAAAAGACAGCCTCCTAATTGAACCTGCATTTCAGAGGCTGGTAGGCACAAGCCCTCACAGTACCTGGGACGTGGACTTAGGTTGCATCTGCACTAAAAGACTTGGTCTGTGCTTCCTGTGGGTATGCATGAGGGACTTTCTGTCAAAGTCTGGGGGATAAATGAGGCGCATCTATTTAACTCAAAGAATACTATGCAGGAAAGAAATGTTTGTAAAGGGCCCAAATCATGCTTGTTTGAGAACGTGAGAAATGTTTCCCCATGTGTAGGAAGGGGATGGTGCCTCTGGCAGGCCACTGCAGCTCTGCGTAGCCATGCGAATGGCTTTCAGCAGCACTGGGAGAGGAGTCCTGCCTTCCCCAGGGCAGTGGAGCTGCACTGGGGTGATTTGGCACTGCATGGGGGCTGCCTCCCCAGCCACCCCAGGCTGGACACAGCCTGCTGCATCACTGAAAGAGCTTTGCTGTGTCCCTGTGGGCTGGTGGCTCTCCTTGCCCTTCCTGGCCCTTGATCTCCAGACCATGCTGTTTCCTGGAGGGGCGCCTGGCAGGTTCCTCCCAGCCTCTTCCTGCCCCTGACTCTCTTTTTCTCTCTCAGTCCACCGCCGAACCTCGCACCACATCCATCATCCCCTTTCCACTCACCTCCCTTCTGCCCTCAAGTTCCAAAAGAGGTCCCCCCGTGCTAGTAGGAGGAAAAAAAGGAGGAGGAAAAAGAAGAAAACCTCAGTGCCCCCCTCGGAGGTGACCCCCACCATCCAGGAAGAGGACGAGGAGGGGGGAGAAGAGGAGGAAGAAGAGGAAGAAGAAGAAGAGGAAGAAGGAGAGTCTGAGGCAGAAGAGGCCCAGGAGAAAGAGATCTCTGCAGAGTCTGAGGGCGAAGCTCGTGGGAAGGACACGTCCCCTAAGCTGGAGTCCCCAAGCAAACCAAAGGCAAGGCTAGGGCATCCCTACCTGGACAGGGCTCGGAGGCTGGGGGGGAGGTGGAGGGAGGGTTGATGCCGGGAGGGTGCCAGGGTGTATGGTCATGGGAGTGTGCTGCTCAGGGGGAAGAGGTGTTGGGGTGGATGCTGGGGAGGGTGTGCATGACCATTTTGGGGGTTTAAGACCCATGGGGGAAGATCAGTGTGGTTGTTCTTAGGGTGTATAGGATATGGGGGGGCTCAATATGGCCAGTCCCAGGGTATGGGGCACGTGGGGGAAGTCAGTGTGGCGCGTTCTAGGAGGTGGGGACATGGGGAGGATCTGCGTGTCAGGGACTGGGGCGAAGGCTGCCTGCCCCAGCTCTTGCTGTCAGGACTGTCGTCTCTGCAGTTCACCATCGGCAGCGATGAGGAGGAGTCCGGCACCGCTCTGGCCCCTGCCCAGTTCCACGTGGAGGAGGAGTGTGGCATCCTGTCCCCTGTGCCATGCTTTGCTGACCTGCTGCAGGACAAGGGCCCTGCCTCCCTCCGCAGGTAGGAGAGTGGTGCTGAGCTGCCTGCCACTCTCCCCGGCTTGGGGTTCTGCACAGACCCTGTCCCCAGGGGTAGTGGCTGTGCCCAGCCTGAACTCGCCTGCTGAGCCAGAGGGGACCTGGGGCCCAGAGGGAGAGCGGCTGTGAGCAACACGGCTGCACCCTGGTGAGACAATCACTCCCTGGGACTCCTGTGACCTCCTTGTGTCCATGGAATCCCCGGGGTGCAGGTTTGGGGGCACTGGGCTGCACACGTGGAGTACCCTCCCTCCCAGCTAACTTGCACCGTCGTGCTGACCTGCAGGCTGGGAAGCCCCAGGAGGCTCAGCCGAGTCAGGGAACCATGAGGCCATTGACTCAGAGGTGGGTCCCCAACACTGACCACAAGCTGATCCCACTCTGCGGTGGCGGAAAGGAGGAGCAGAAGGGGCAACCTTTAGGTGTTGGGACAGGTGACTCCTGGCTCTCCTTCTTCTCAGGGACTTATCGGTCAGGGCTGGGCCAAGGGACCTCAGCCCCTGAGAGGGGCTAGTGCCCATCCTCACTCACCTCATTTGCTACCACCGGTCTTTTTGGTTCCTGCAGCCTCCCTGGGCCTCGGGAACGTCTGTCTCGCGGGTGGGAGAAGCGCAAGCCTTGGGGCCAGGTGGCGAGCGGACAACGGGTTACCTATGACTTGAAGGAGAGGATGTGCATCGGCAGCATGACCACACTGGAGAGCGCAGCATACCAGCGCGTCCCCACGGACGAGGCTGAAGCCCAGATGCTGGCGTCTGCTGACTTGGACGGCATGAAAAGTGAGGCTTTGTGACACTACCTACACTATTAGTGAGCGTGTCCCTTGCTTCTCCCTGTTTTGCCCTCTTCCCTAGCAGCTCCAGGCATGATCTTCAGCCTGCCGCAGGACCTGGTCCTCACCTCCCTGTCCCCTAGCCCCTGCTGTTCCAACCCTGGCTCTTGTCTGTCAGCTTTGTGGTGTCCACAGTGCCTTTCCCCATGTTTGCAGCACCTCTACTCACACCCACCCCACGGCTGCTTGCTCCACCACCCACCCCACTGCCCTCTCCAGTTCAGGGCTCCCTGCATTTTCCTGAGACCCAGCTCTCTCCTCTCCTGACACACTTTCCCAGCTGTCAGCCCTCTGTGCGACACGCCAGCTCTGGCATCACAGAAAACCTGAGGTGAGGAGCCTCCCCTCTCCTCTGCTTTCCTGGCAGAGAGGCAGCTGCCCCCTCCGGAGCGCCTCGGAGGGGGACTGCCCCTGTGTGCGGTGTGAGGGCAGACAGAAGAGACGTCATGGAAATGCACGCTCCGGGCCCGAGGACATGGAGAATTCAATAGGTTGCTCTGCAGGCTGGAGAGGGAGGGAGACACCAGAGGGGAGCGAGGGAGAGAAGCGGTGCTGCACGCACAGCCTGGCTGTCCCCGGGCCACAGGCGCCGTGTCCCTGGGCAGCCGGCACGAGATCCCGCAGCAGAGTGAGGACCCTGCTCCCGAGGAGCCAGTGGGGCAGCCCCCCACGGAAGCATCCCTGGGTGGAGCCAGCCTTCCTGGGACCTCATCAGTCCCCAGGGGCTGCTGTAGCCGGCACCTTCATGCCCCGTGAGGAGGGGAGCGAGGCACTGGGGCTGGCCCCAGGGCTGCGGTGAAGCCCCCCAGGGGCAGCTTGCTTTCCGCACGTCAGCCTGGCTACCCCGGCCCCTCCTCTGAAGGTGAGTGGCTCATGGCGCCTGACCCCTGACCTTCGCAAGGACAAAATGACAACCCTTCAAGAGAGAGAGGAGGCAGCGAAGGAATCGGAAGGGGGCAGCAGCCCGGAGGAAGCGATAAGCACCTGCATTCGCAACTCACTCGGCTATGAAGACTTTGATGAATTTGCCTTCAATTTTGAAGACTATGATTTATGGGAGGCCATCAGAAACCATCTGGGCTACCCAGGCGGGGAGCCCACCTGTAAGTACCGGAGCAGTGACCCCACGGTTGCATAGATCAGAGCCCCCAGCTAAAGTGCATATCCCCCACCCTGTGCTTGCTGTCTGCACTCTCTCCATGTCCGGTTGGTCTCCTGGTTTAGAGGAGGTATGGTCTGCCCCACCTGTGCCTGGGGGCACCGGGAGAGCTGTCTGGTGTCTGGGTGTCTGTCCGAGGTCTTTGTACTCATCTGTGTCATAGTGCTGAGGTGCTTCCCTGTGTGTGTCTCGCTCGAGCAGTTCTGGAGGCAGCTGCATCTTGCTGTTTGTGCTTATCGGGATGTGGCCCGTGCCGTGGCCAGAGAAAAAGCAGCTGCTCCAAGGTGTGTATCAGGACAGAGACATTTCCCCTTCCATCTGTGGCACAAGGTGACAGTGTGCCGCTGCTCTGTTTGCTGGAATTCGAGATGAGCTGCAGATCCGACAGCAGTGGTGGGTATCAGGTTCTCGGCTCTGCACCATAGCCTAATGCCCGGAGGAAAAAATAACCTAGTCCCTATGTCTGCAGGCTTGAGCATGGCTGTGAAACTAGCTAATGGCAGGCTGGCCGGGGTGCCTGGAAGGGGGAGAAGAGGAAGGAAGTGAGAGTGGGAAAAGCAGGGAAGGAGAGAATAGGAATCCCAAGAGCGAAGATCGTCTTTCTGTTCTCCGCATCTGTTTCCGTACCCGCGCATTTCTTGAGCTGGGTCTCTGGGCCATCCCAGGGACTGCGCAGAAACCGGAGCCTCGCTCCCATCTCGTGCAAGTGGTCCTTCCTCGGCAGATGGTGGTAACTCACAGTTAAAAGGTGGCTTTGCATGTCACTTTGGGAGTGACACTGTTCATAGCTCTGTGACAGCTGCCCAAATGTCCTCATCTGGATCATGGTTTAATTTTTCAAGGGATTTTAGGATTGCACGTGGGAGAGTGGCATGGCCTCAGAACTAGCCAGCTTACTGGCTTTGCATGCGGGAGTGGTGAGGCAGAGTGCTTGCAACAGGGACTCAGGACACCTTGGTTCAGTTTCTGGCTCTGCTACAGCCTCTCTGTGTGATCTAGGCAAAACATTTAACGTCCCCTGCCTCCCAGTCCCAGCATCATGTTCTCTTTCTCAGCTGGTCCATCTTTACAAGCCTTCGGGGAAGAAATGTCTGTCTTTGTGCTTCTGCAGGGACCAGCAAGTGGGGATTTGCTTCTGGCTGGGTCTGCTACTTGTTACTGTAAATTGATAGACAGTATAACAGCAGCAAAGTTCAAAATAGAATCCTTGAGCAAATTGGCTGCATCAGCTGTCCCGAGCTGAGCAAACTGTACATTAAAAGTGTGAGAATAATGGCAATTATTCAATAAGAAATTGCCCCAAGTTCACCTGGGAAAGGGTGGCTATTCTTGGGAAGGTAGAAGGGGCAGATCACTTCTGCAAGGTGTGATATGCATCACTTATAAAGTGGGGAAATTTGGCTTGCTAGCAGTTAACACATTCATTGATTGCTACAGCTAATTCTGCAGGTGCTTGAAATAGGATGTACTTGTACAGTCAACTCTTAATTATTTCTGCACAATGAATCCATGCTGTGGATTAATCCTGCAGAGAGATATGGCAGAGACAGACAGAGATGGCAGAGACACCAGAGTCAGTTCTGTGCAGCTCACATCCAGCCAGTGCCACTTGCTCAGCTATTTACTCCATGGCAGTACCTATTCCAGGACCAACTCAGACACAGAGGAAATTAATGGCTTTTGAGCAGAGTAGAGTCCTTGTTGGACCTGAGCTGGTCTCCTTGCTCTCCTTTTAGTGTTCAGAGCATGGCAAGTGCTGTGCAGGGACACCTGGATGGCAGCAGGGATGAGCTGGGGTCCAGCTGTCCCTATCACATTGAACTCAGCCAGGAGAGACTTGGTTCTGTGCAGGGCAGGGCAGTAGCTTTTTCCAGAAGCCAGCATAGGGTTGTGACTTATTGTATGTTGATTAGCACTTTGTTTAGTCTAATTTTAAATATCCCAAGAGATGGGGTTTCAATCTCTTTTTTTCTTGGTGTAACTTAACCATTGGGGTATGTGGGAAGTGTGCACCATCCCTGTGATGCCGGGCTAGCAAGTTGCTCTCTAGTACTGGTACAACTACTCCAATGCGTCTTTCTGGGCTTCCTGCTTGTGGACAGAAGGCAATGAAAGAAGGGAAGCGGGAGCTAACACATGAATTGAAGGCAATCGCCCGCTGAGTTGGACTGACTAGCACAGGCACTCTGGGGGAAGACTTTAACCAGTGCAAAGTCATATTTGTCATCTTCAGATTTAAGCTGGCAGAAAAGAAACTTGGTCAATCCAAGATTCCAAGAAATCTGACTGATGGAAGCCAACGTGGCAAGAACATCTTCTGGAGGAGACTGTAGGAGATGCTGTGTGGGAGGGTGACATACCAGTTCGTTGTAGTGGAGCCACCATAGGAATCACGCTCTGTCCTCAGACATTGTCACTGTCTCATGCTCTGTTCCTGGGGAGCACTGGAGAGGAGGACAGCAAGAGCTGTCCTGGGCTGCTTCCTCTCACCCTGAGGAGTTTGGCTTCAAGGAAGGAGGGCAGAGCTATGCCCTGGGCACTTCAGCCTTTGGTCTCAGTCCAAGATCCTGTCCTGAGTAAGGACCCCAGACTTAGGTGCTCACTTGGGCTTGACTATCATTTGAGGGAAGCACCAATCTGACGGGACACAGAAAGGCTCTCTGTAGAGCAGTCTGGAGCAGCTCAGCTGGGCTCTGTGTGGGACTCCCAAAGCCAGTGGCCTCTTCCAAAATTAAGCCCATGTGTCCACCCTGCTGCTATGCGTTGTCTCCCCCAACTGGCATCTCAGTGGCCACAAGCACTGCCAAGGGAGAGCAGCAAAGTGGATCGCTCCTTTCTTCTGTGGGGCTCTGGAGGTGTGCCTTCACCGGCTCACTCTGAGCCTGCAGCACTCCAGCTCCTGTCCCTGTCAGCAAGTGTGGGAGTCACTGGAGATGCTTGCACGAAACTTGGCTCCTTTCATTTTATCTGTCCTCCAGCCATTTGGTGGCTGGGGCTGAATGCCTGTGTGTGCTTTCTAGGGCTGTTGCTGAAGAGCACTGTGTGGCAGGTTGGCATCGCCACGGCGGAGGCTTGCCGTGAGCGCTCTGTCTTGCTGGGCAGAGTGTCCTCTGGCCCTGTTCTTGTAGGGGCACGATGAGAATGAGTCCCAGGGTATGTGGGAGAATCAGAAGCTGCAGGGATTGGAGCAAAGGTGCCAGATACCAAGATCATCTGCCTGGTGGCCTGTTTGTTTATGCACGAATCCACACCAAGTGCAATGAAGTGGCTCCTGTGCATGCAGGAATTGAGAAATCCATGCAAATAACTGAGGAAGCCCCACACGTGCCCAGCTCCCAGAAACATTCGTAGTGGTGGGCAGTTATTGGCTCCTATCGACATTGCAATGCAGTAAGTGGAGCAGGGAGGAGTCCAGCCGTCAGCAGGACGTGCATCAGCAGGGCAGCCAATGGGGGAAAATGCCCCGAGGCTCAGTATTGATTCATTTTATATTTAATTTAGCGACCCAGATTTCCAAGGAGCAAGGCCATGGTATGCCTGGCCTGATGCTGGGCTGTGTCTTTCCATGCCAGAGATGCATGGATATTTTCCTGCAACATCAAAGAGACCACTTGGCCGTCAAGCCCGGTGCTTTTCGCTACCTCTCATGCCCTGAGAGCTGCAGGTGTTGAAGCCAAGTGCAGAAAGGTATCTGGAGACTGAACTTTCATCCCAGCCAATGAAGAGCTGCCCTTGGTCTCCCAGGGAGAAGACCTTGGCTTTGCCTTACAAGCAGGGCTAGCAAGCCTCGATGGACCGAAGCTGAGCAAAACCCCTGACTCCATGATCTACCTGGGGGAGCTTGCCCATCCTGGAGCTGGGCTCTGAGACTTTCCCCATCCCCATGAGCTGCCTGTGCAGAGGAAGATACACTTGCTGTCTCTGGGTGGTGTCCAGGGAAATTACTCTCCATGGCAGGCTGTTGCCCAGGTGCTGTTTCTCTGGCATTGCAAAAGGGGCTGGCACGGTTGTGGCCAGGTTTTGGTGGGCGCTGGCTAGCCAACAGCACTGGTAGCTTGGTGGTGGGTCTGTAATGCAGCCTCAACAGCCTCTCTGGAGGCTTCAGGAGGCTTTGATTCAGCCAGCCAAACTCTGTAACACAGACCTTTCAGAGGACATTCCAGCAGCACTGCAGATCATCTAGAAACAGCGATAGCTGGAGTTAGCTGCCCAGCCTCCATGCCAGCCCCGGGTCTGCACTGTTATCTTACAGTCTCATTGCACAATTAAATAAAAGTAATTGATATTTCCATGTGTCTCCCAGACCAGCAGCTAAATATCCTTCTCCTTCACTGCCCTTTATGCTTGCTGAGCACCAGGCCTTCCTCCAGTGGGAGAAATGAGCCCCAGCCAGATGCCTGCCTGTGCTGTCTGGGTGCAGAGCTGTGCAGACAAGGCTTCAGGTTGCTTTTCATTGAGGGAGTATGGGAAGGGTTTATGCCCCATTTGTTCAGGTACCATGAATAAAGCTTTTGCAAATGATGCTCCAGTGTATGCACAGTCTGGGAGGAAGCCTTCTTCTTGAAGGAATTAGCTGTCAGATGTCTGGAAGAGCTGAAAGTAGGCAGATGAGGCAGGAAGGATCTTCAAAGGTCGAGGATGATTGTGAGTGCTCCAGCTGCCAGGGCTTTGCTAGCGTAATCTAATGAGAGAAGGGTGGGCTTGGATGTGTTTCCCTGCCAGACAGTGTGTTTCCACTAGACACACGGGTGGTCTTTTTTCCTTTCCCATGTCTTCAGGCCACCGTTTTGAAGATAACCCTGGTGTGAGGAGGCATCTGATGAAAAAACCATCTCGGAGTCAGATCACCAGGACAAGTAAAAAATTAGCATCAACTCCATCTGTGAAGAAAAAGAAGAAGAAGAAGAAGTTGGATAGAAAGCCCCATGAGGTATCCATGTGCTGTCCTCCCACACTTGTTCAGAAGTCATAAATCAGGATTAGAAACAGGCACTTTTTATAAAGTGATAAATGTGGTTTCAATATAGTTAATTCTTTACATGATCTTGGGGGTGACATTTCAAGCTCTTATCCATTATCGTGAGGGCTGAAAATACACTTTTTTCAATAAAAGCGGAGATTTCTCTGAAATCACAAAGCTTCAACCTTAGGAAAGAGGTTAAAAAGTCACAGAAATGGTAGTGCTGTTGTGGAAGTTGGCAGCACAGTAACGTCACCATCCCTGGTAAGTGGGAAATTTTGGGGGAAACCAAGAAGCAGGCAGAGGACAAAATTGTCACAGTTTGGTAGAGGGGTGCAGCATTGCATCATTCTCTTCTGCCCATGCCAGCTTTCTGGTGCTCCATGTGCTGATGGAAGCTCCTGCCATGCTGCCAGTGATATTTGTCCTGGCTGCTTCTGTTCACCAAACCTCTGGTTAACTAAGGCAGGTTTGCTCAGGCACTGCTTTAGACCAAGTGGTACCTTGAGAACAAAACTGAGGCTTTCCATGTATTGTTGATAGAGCTGTATGCATCAGGGGAAGTCTCATGTCCTCTCTGTAATTCGCACTAGGTGTTTGTGGAGCTGAACGAGCTGGTGGTGGATAAGAACCAGGAGATGCACTGGAGGGAGACGGCCCGCTGGATCAAGTTTGAGGAGGATGTGGAGGAGGACACAGCAAGGTGGGGGAAACCCCACGTGGCCTCACTGTCCTTCCGCAGCCTGTTGGAGCTCAGGAAGACAATTGCCCACGGTGAGTCAGGAACCATAGGCCAGGGTTTGTGTCTTGCTCTGGGACAGGTTTTGCTGGACAGCTTCTGTTGCTGGAGACGCTGGAGACACTCCAACAATGTCTGTGTCCAGGCTCCATGTAGTGTCTGCAGAGACAGACCATCCTGCAGCCCGTTTGCCAGGGTTTACATTAGCCCAAGGGTGCCTGTGTTGGTTCCTTGCTCTGCATTGCTGCTCTCAGGCATGTGGCAGCTGTGACACCCAGCTGTGCCTAGGCCTGCAGGTCTTTGACCCATCTTTGGTGTGAAAGGTCAAGTTCAGTCGGGGTGGGAGGCCAAAACAAGAGGGAGGTACCAGAGCTACTAGTGTGTCTTGGAGCTTTTGGGTTCTCTTGGGACAAGGGTTTACACAGAGGACATGGGACACCTGGACTTGGGGTATTTCTCAACTGAGAGAATCTGTACCCCAACCGAAGCCTGGCTCCTGGTGGGACGGCTGTGTCCCCAGAGCGTGTGTGCAGCGGGGAGCGCTGCACACTAGGAGCAGGGCTCTTCCCCTCCTGCTGGCAGGTGCTGTCCTCCTTGACCTGGAGCAGACCACACTGCCCGGCATCGCTCACCTCATGGTGGAGACCATGATCATCTCTGACCAGATCAGAGCGGAGGACCGAGCCAATGTGCTGCGCGCCCTGCTGCTGAAGCACAGGTGGGTGGTACATGGCCAAAGGCTGCTGGGGCTCGGGGATTGTCTGCGAGCCCCAGGCCGTACAGGAGGTGGGTCCCCTCATGGCTGCTGCTCTCCCCCTCAGCCATCCCAATGATGAGAAGGAGGGCTTCTTCCCGAGGAACCACTCCAGCTCCAGCATGAACTCTATCGTGGGGAACCACCACCACAATCACACCACCGACACCTGCATGCCCCTCATGGGGGAAGAGCGCATCGAGATGGCCGACCCCAAGGCCCATGAGACTGAGTGCAAGGAGGTGAGGGTGACATGGGGGATTACTGCTTCTTTTTCTACACCCTGGGGACAACTGTTGGCCGGCGGCAGCCCTTGGCACCCACCTCTGGGCTCTTTCATAGAGGGCCTTTTACTTGCAAGGGTTGGGCTCCCCTGGATCACCTGGAGCGCTGGAAATCAGGTCGCTGCGTTATGATTTTGGAACCTAATTTTAGCCTCATGCTGTATTCAAATGTCTGCTTGAGCATGCAATGGCAGCAACAGCCCTGGTGCTTGCAGGGTGGCCGTTCGCTGTGAGGGTGCCTTGCCTGTGAAGCAGGGTGTCGGGCGTACAGCCAAGGCAAGCCCAGCTGCAGATATGTCAGTGGGGTGCAAGGCTGCTTAGGGAGACCACGGCACGGGAACTCCATCCTTACTTGTTTGTATTCTTCCCCAGCAGAAAAACCCACATCTCCATAACTCTGAGGGCCACCGTAAATACCTGAAGCTAATGGAGAAGATCCCTGAAGATGCGGAGGCCACAGTGGTCCTCGTGGGTAAGAGGCAGCATGCAGAGTCCCCTGGAGCCAAAAGAGACCATTTCAGATCCTGGTCTGGCTCCAGCTGTCTGTGCGCTCCCTCCTGAGGGGTATTTGGTCATCTTGTACATGTTTCCATAGTTCAACTGGGGCAGGAGCCTTGTACGCTCTCTCTTTTGGTGACAACGCACGTTTTGTTTGTCTGTGGTAAATGTGAGGGGTGCCTGGGTAACTCCTTTCCTAAATTAAGAGGTTGATAGACACTGCTGCTGGGAGCTGGAGCCCAGCTTAGAGGAGAAAGTCCTGCCAGGCTCACCAGAACATCCCATTTTGCAGCTCGGAAGTGGGTAAGTGGTGCCTGAGGGACTGATGGCCAGGCACTGACTGCTGTCGGGCCTCGCGCTGTCCTCTGACCATCGCTGCCCTCCGTCTGGCCTCTTCACATCTCGCCAGCAGCTGTGCCCTGCCCCTGGCCAGTGTTGGTTGCTGGTTGTGTGTGCCAGGGAGCTTTGAGTTTATGGGGCCTGGCTGGTGGCAAGGTCTCAGCTATCGGCCATAGCGCTGCCAGGAGATATTTCTCTGTACAAGAGGGCTGTGAGAGGGCAGGCTTGAGCATCAGCAGGCTTGATGCCTTCTGACCACAAGGGTAGTCCTTCTCAGCACTTTGCTGGCATTAACATCTCAGCAAACGTAGCTACACTACAAGCAAAGTAAATGTCATTGCCTATCCAGTAGATGAAAAGCTCAGGCAAAGAGGCTTGGCAGCTTAACCAAGCTGATGCTTAATCACGATGAGGCCAAATCAGCTTCATAAATGCACTTTGAATACTCAGATAACTAAACACTGGCCATTTCTGAGGTAAGGCTGTGTCTTGGGATTCGCTTGGCCACTCGAATGGCCCAGATTTGCCAGTCTAACACAGAACACAGCTCTTTGCTGGACGCAGATGGCGGAAAGATCAGTAATAATGCCAGAGAAATACAAGTATTCAATAAACATTTGTGTTCGGTATGGGAAGGAAGTGGCTGGTGTGCCGGAGGATGCAGGAGTACTTCCCAATCTGTTAGGAACTGAGGAAGCTGCCAAGCATTGATGACATGCGGACATTGTAAAACAAACTGTGCAGTCTTTAGAGAACTGGCTCATTTTCATCTGGAAAAAAAAAGTCTAGGAATACAGGGTACATACGAGAAAAACAGAAGAAAGCTCATAGCATCAGTGCTCAAGGAGGGAAGGACAGTGATCCAGTACCTATAGGTTGTTTAACCTGACGTCCTTCCCGGCCAACATAGTGGCAGAGCTAATATGGGATTCAATTAATAAAGAGCTAAAGGATAAGAATGTAATTATTGCCAAGCAGTGAGGTTTATGGGAAATAGGTCATGTCAAGCAAACCTGATTTCATTCTTTGATGAGATTAGAAGTTTGTTTCATAAAAGTAACATGTAAGAGACTTACTTCCTTCCATAAGGCAGTGGCTTAGTGGCAAACAACCTTCTGATTTAAAATTAGCCCCTTATAGTGTAAGTAGAGCCCATCTGTAAGAGATTAAGAATGGGCTAACTGGGAAGCTAAAGAAAGTAGCACTGGTTGGGAATGATCAGTGAACAGGGGACTTGGAGCAGTCCTCGTCATGAAGCTCAGTGCTGTGTCAGTGGTCTGGAGACAAGTACGGGACTGCAGGGCTTGTGCAAACCCCCGAAATCCCTGTTTCCACTGTTAAAGGCAGCCCAGTACAGCTCACCCCAATGATTAACTCTGCTCAAAACATTGCCTCCTGGTAGGTTGTGTGCAGTTCCTGGAGCAGCCAACTATGGCCTTCGTCCGACTAAATGAGGCCGTCTTCCTGGAATCTGTCTTGGAGGTCCCGATTCCTGTCAGATTCATCTTTGTGCTGCTGGGACCGAGCCAGGCCAACATGGACTACCATGAAATTGGCCGCTCAATCTCCACCCTCATGTCCGACAAGGTGAGGAGCTGACAGGCAGTGATGCTGGCACAGGCGAGGGAGCTTCGGTAGCTCAGAAGTCAGTCCTGGGACGAGAGTGCTGAGAGATGCTGTACAAAGGCCCAGGTGGGGCAGGCAGGTGTGACCACCAAGGTAGGATGCTCCAGTATAGAGGGAAGAATAGGACAGACACTTGGCTGGGACAGAGAGTGCTAGGCTCGGTGATGAAAGGGGTCATACGTAAAAGCAGGAGCAAAGGACTGCCCAAGGTTAGAGGAGTTGTGTTCAGTTGATGTTTCACAAACAGAGAGGAGGGGAGACTGAGCAGTGCCTGTGACCATGACGCCTGGCCCAGGCCACACTGACAAAAAGACCCAGCAATGCCTGGGGACTGTTGTTAGGTGTTTGGATGAAGCTTTCTAGCTGAGTCCCGTGGCTGGGGCATCCATGCAGAGGAGTGCATCAATGCAGAGGAGTACATCCATGCAGGAGGAGAGATGAGGGAGGCAGGAAGATTTTTCTGCCAAGCATGTGCACTGCTAGAAGTCCCCCATCTGGCTAGATGGCAGGAAAGTGAAATTCATTATCCTGGTAAGGAATTAAAGGCAAAGGAAAGACAATCTGAGCATCTTCTGTATACATCCAGGACAGGAGAATCAGAGGTTCACAGGGTCCTCCTGGCTGGTGCCATGTAACTATAACCGAGTAGCAAACTTTCCTGTCCCACCACCAGTGCACAACCTTCCCTGAACTGGGGACTAAAAGGTCCGCTCAGACCTTTTAGTTGGGTTGTGGGCAACACGGGCTCCCAGCTGAAAGATCCTTTTCCAGGAGTTGCACAGAGCTCTGCTGAGACTCTGTTTTTAGCCAGAAGAGGTGAGGTGCCATATTCCAGCTTCAGCGCTGCATTTGTGGGCTTATCTTGCTCATTTGAGCCTCTGCTCCTCTGTGGCTGCCAGAGGGGAGCCAGCTGCTGCAGCTGGGGCTGGCCATAGCAAGGTTACACAGTGGCTGGCGCCATGAAGAGAGTACGGTATCATTTACAGTCTGAAGCTGTGGCTCCAGAGAGTCTGTGTGCTGCAGGGACCTTAGCTGTCCCTTACCTGCTTTACAGGCTGTTCACTTGTTCATCTTCCTCCAGCCCTTTCTCTGCAGGCACGTTCCAGAGGCAATGCAGCACTTGCACGCATTTGCCAGCACCTCCCTGCCTGTCTGCAGTAGTGCTGTCCCCTCATGGTCTCTTTGGAGTCCTTCCTTGTCATCTTGCCCTTGCTGTCAGGAGTGTCTCCCCTTTTCTGCCTGGTTTCCCTCGCGTGGCTTCCCTCATGATGTAGACTCCTATTTTCCCTCCCTCTCCCATGTGGAGACTCCCAAGTCTCTTATGCTCCCTGCTCAGGTGATCTGAGCAGCCACAGTGATCTGGTGTGAACAGAGGCATAGGCTGGCCAGCATAGGCTGGCTAAGGCTAAGGAACGAGAGGCACCAAGCTAGCTGGGAAGCACAGATCTGATTTCGATTGATGGAGAGGTCCCATGAGAGGCACCCTGTGGTCTGGCAGAACGTGCAGCTGCGAGAGGCACCAAGCTAGCTGGGAAGCACAGATCTGATTTCGATTGATGGAGAGGTCCCATGAGAGGGCACCCTGTGGTCTGGCAGAACGTGCAGCTGGCAGATACTGCAGGAGCACAATCTTGGGCAAGAGCAGCGGGGCTTGGGGGAGAAAATCAGGACCAAGGTGGTCACTGGAAAGGATGGATAGGGAAAGGAGGAGAGACATGGGATTAGGTGAGGAGCATTGGGTAGAAGGACAGGGGGGAGGGATTCAGGAGTGTGGGTCACAGAATGGCAGTAGTGAGACAAGTAGTGGGTCGAGGGAGCGGGATGTTACTGTATGGTCACAGCAAGCGTTGTGTTTCCAGGTTGTAGGTAGCTGGGTGCAGTCTTGGTCTGAGCCTTCTCCCTCTCTCTTTTTCCCTGCCCCTCTCAGCACTTCCATGAGGCTGCATACATGGCAGATGACCGTCAAGACCTCCTCAACGCAATCAATGAGTTCTTGGACTGCAGCATTGTCATCCCCCCATCGGAGGTGGAGGGGAAAGACTTGCTCAAATCCATTGCCACCTTCCAGAAGTTGCTGCTGAGGAAGAGGAAGGAGAGGGAGCAGAAGTCCATGAAGGAGGGTGCTGTCCAGGAAGCCAAAGGTCTCTCCACTCACATTTGGGCAAAAGAGTTTGTGCCTAGTGCCCTGCGTGCCCCAGTGGGCCCTCCCCTCACAGAGCCTGGCAGAGGGGTGAGCGGGGCCTGGCTCCTGCAGTGGGCAGCAGGGAGGGGGGCAAGGGGAGGCAGGACAGTGGCTGTGGGCAGCTCTGGCAGCTGGGGACAGCTGGAGGCAGTGGGATGTGCAGTCACAGGGGGCCCACCAGGTTAGCGCTGCTGGAGGAAGGTCTCCACGGGGTATGGGGGAGAGGGACAGCCCAAGGGCAGACCTGCATTCCCCTGCTCAAGCCCTGCCCTCCATGCACCTCCAGAGCTGTGTGAAGTGAAAGCTGAGGAAGAAGAGGAGGAAGCTGAGGACGACCCTTTGAAGCGGACCGGGATATTTTTTGGAGGTCTGGTTCGGGACATAAAGCGCAGGTACCCCAAATACCTCAGTGACATCAGAGACGCCTTGCACAGCCAGTGTCTCGCGGCCGTTCTCTTCATCTACTTTGCTGCTCTCTCTCCTGCCATCACCTTCGGGGGACTCCTAGGTAATGGGCCTGCTTTCTGGTCTGCTCTTTGCACGCTGGAACACTGGCTGTGTCTGTGTGATGCTGTGCTGGGGTGGGCTTCGGTGCTGCTCGCTCAGGGAGAGCGGCGTGTAGGCTGCTGCCTTGTCCCCTCCCTGCCACTTGGCCTCTCCAGCCTCGGCTCCCTGGGCTCCCTCTGTGCTCCCTGCCCAATGCAGGGGACCTCTGACTGATGGGATGGGGACCTGCCTCCTCCATCTGGAGCTGTGTCTGCAGCCTGCCTGTCTGTGGTAACGGTGCCTGTGTCTGGGCTATAACACTCACACGTTGTTCTCTTTCCCAGGAGAGAAAACTGAGGGTCTCATGGGGGTCTCCGAGCTGATAATCTCCACCTCGGTTTTAGGGATCCTCTTCTCCCTGCTCGGAGCCCAGCCGCTCCTGGTCATTGGCTTCTCAGGGCCTCTGCTGGTGTTTGAAGAAGCTTTTTACAAGGTACATGTGAGGCAGTGTCCGTGCTTGGCACCTGCTCGCTCTGCCCTTGCGCTGGAGAGGACAGCTGGCATTTCTCAGTTCTCCAAAGGGTCTTTGGTGGTGTGGACTCCTTGGGTCCTGCCAGGCTGCCCTCAGCTCGGCCGGGGCTGGCCCTGGCTCTGCTGACCCTTTGCAGGTCATGCTGTAGGGACTTCTGCCTCCTGTTGCTGTATCCCATGGGCTGACCTCCTTGAGGTGTGACAGTGGTAACAGCACTCCTCTACCTGCTGACTGTGAGGGGAGCATCGTCCCCCAGCCCCATGCTGCTACAATGAGCACTTGTAGCTGCATCCTAAAATACTGGTCCATAATACTTTCTTGTTCTTGGGGATTCCTTTGAAGACTGTTTCACAGCTTTTACCTGTGTCCAGGTTTCCTTGTATGGGAACCCAACAACGTTCAGTGTACCACCCATTTGGGATGTCCCACGTACATTACTCCCACCTCTCAGGATGAGCCCAAGGGTGTGTGCAGAGGTATCCTGGCCAGCCAGGATGGACATGTTTCTTTCTCAAGTAGCATGACCTCTTCACTGTTAAAAGCATCCCTGTGTCACTGTACCTCCAAGCAGTGGGTTTAATCCTTCTCCTTTTTTCTGACTCCTAGCATGTCTGGGCTTTTAAAGCATGGTTTTTCCTACAGCTAGATTTTCACCTTGGTGTGTCAAGAATTCGGAGCTGGTGATGCCATCGCACAGTGGGAATTTCTCTGCTCTCCTGTGACCGCACTTCTCACTGACTGCTTTTGCTTTGCCCAGTCATTGTGTACAAAGGTGTACCTCTGCCCTGTGTGAGGGCACCGTCTGTGGTGGTACCGAGGAAGGCTGCAAAGGGAGGGATGTGTTTTGTGCTGGAAGTAGTTGGTGTTGCTGTGTGTGGATGAGCAGAGGCAGTGGAGATGGTCTGTTCTGTGGTGACAGCCTGGGGGCTTTTCTCCACACACATAAAACTGTGTGTGTATACAGGGCGCTGTCTGGGATCATGCCCCAGCTAACGTAGCCTTTATGCAGTGGGACATAGCAGGCTGCTCAGGCTCTCCTTTGTGGGGAACATGCTTGTGCTGTTGAGTGCATGGAGTAGTGGAGAGCTGTGTTTGAGTAGTGGCACCTCCGTATGGGTGGGATGGGGAGTGTCATACATGGGATGGCTTCAGCAGAGAGTGAAGGAGGTACTGTTACAAAGACTGGAGCGGTAAAGACCTGCTTGGTGTGAGCTGGCTCATGTTAATGCAAAGTCTGTAACTTTACCTATGACTCCAGCCCTGAATTCACTGTCTCTGTGCTGGATGCCCGAGCAGATGTAGATGCTTTTTTCCAGGAGAGTCCTTGATCTTCATGGGGAGCAGATGCGGGAGACAGTCTGAGGAGCCATGAGTAACTCCTTCCCCTTTCCATTTCAGTTCTGCCAGACACAAGGCATTGAGTATCTGACAGGCAGAGTGTGGATTGGCTTGTGGCTCATCGTCTTCATCTTCATTATCGTGGCAGCTGAGGGAAGCTTCTTGGTGCGCTACATCTCGCCCTTCACCCAGGAGATCTTTGCTTTCCTCATCTCCCTCATCTTTATCTACGAGACCTTCTACAAACTATACAAGGTGAACCTTCCCCAGGGAGATGGGCTGCCACATCTCTTGATCCCCCAGGAACCTGCTGCTTTACCATACAGGAGGCAGGGGAACAGGGCCAGCTCAGCCACAGCTTTCCTAGGCGTTCTGCGGAGTAGTTCTTTGCTGGCCTCTCATGCCCCAGCCCAGCTGGCTCCTGTGCCATCACAGGGGCTGGCAGGACAAGCCCTAACATCTGTCTCCCCTTCTGTTCCTGCAGAAGGCATTAAAGAGAGGCCACTTTTCTGTCCCCAGCCCTCTCCAGCTGGGTAGGTTGCGAGGCGAGGTGATGGATGCTGGGACTGTCCGTGCCCACCATCTACCACCCTCACCTCTCCACAGAGCAGGACACCTCTGCTTCCCCCTGCCTCCAGTAGTGACAGTGCCCCCTGCCCCTCCTTGCAGTGACAGTGCCCTCTGCTTCTCTCACCTCCCCAGGTGTTTGCAGAACATCCTCTGCTCAAGTTCTACCCACCGAACGTGCAGAACGGCCTGAATGCCAGCATGCTCTCTGCGGATGCGATGTCACTGGGAATCAGGATGCAGCCCAACACTGCTCTCCTCTCCCTCATCCTCATGCTAGGCACCTTCTTCATTGCCTTCTTTATGCGCAAGTTCAAGAACAGCCGTTTCTTAGGAGGAAAGGTGAGAAGTTTGTGGGACCCAGATGTTAAGGACAGGGAGATGCCAAACAAATAATGCTTCTTGCTACAGACCTTTGTTCTCCAGAGCATTTGGACCATCTCCCAAAGAAACTCCAGCAATCCCTTAAATACCGTGCAGAAGGGATGGTAGCCTGACCTAGGCTGCAGACAAGAGCTGGCTGATGGTGGTATCTGCACTGTCCTGCTCTAGTGAGGTTTGCTGAAAAGTCCTCTGGACCTTGGGAAAGCTCCTTTGGCTTGTGTGTTATGTGGGCAGTGGGATGTGCAGCCCCACGGGTCAAGGCTGGGTTCCCTTGCCCTGCTCATCAGCAGTGCTCAGGTTTGCAGTGGTGCTGGGCCGCACCTGGGGCTTCGCTTTGCCGCAGGCTCCCTGTAGCAGGGTGGGTGCACAGAGCCGGCCCATTCCGTTTGCTAGCGAGGGTGTTTGTTCTGCAGGCTCGGCGGATCATCGGAGACTTCGGGATCCCCATCTCCATCCTGGTCATGGTGCTGGTGGATTACACCATCACGGACACATACACGCAGGTGGGCGCCAGCGCCACCCTCAGAGCCCCTCCTGCAGCCCAGCAGTGATCCCTGCGGCACCGTGGCCTGCTCTTGTGCAACGGGGGATTTGTATTTCCTGCCTCTTTAGTCGTAACAGTGCAAAGCAAACAGAGACATTCCCCTCGTCCTCACTCCCACACTGAAGGGAAGCTCCAAGGGTCTTGCTGAGGCTGAGACCAGAGCTACAGGGACTGGAGTGCCCTGGTATCCCTCTGGTATTCCAGCTGTTAGTAGGGAGGCTTTAGGGGACCGGAGAGATTCAGTGCAGTTAATTCCTTGGTTGTAACTCTAAAAACTTGCAGTCAATCAACAAGACATAAACTGGTTATGCACACTGAAGGGGGTGGCATATAGAGTGGTTTCAGTGGGGTACTTGTCATGGGTTTAGTACTTAACATATTTATACTCTCCTTGATTATAGGCTACTAAATATTTTGATCACTTTATCTCAAACACAACAATCTCTTTCTCAGTTTATGGACAAACTTAGATGTTATCAAACAAACTCGTCTCACGGGTTTCCTTTTTTTCCCCCCTTTTTTAGTAGATGTGTAGTTATATCTTTCTGTTCTGGTATTTTTTTCAACTAACATCGGGGAGAGGGTGAAAGGTAGTTTCTGTTCAGCATGCAAGCTTTTTATCAAGACAGCCCAAGGCTTAATGGAATTCAAATGCATTTTTATTCATCTAAACTTCAATGAAAAATCTGGTTTTATCAGACGTTAGTAAAATCATGCACTTTGTTACATCCTTTTCATACCCTTCTACACTTCTACAAATAATATCAAAAGCATTATCATTTCAGTATTAACTCAGCATATGTACAAAGCTTCCTGAGAAAACGGTACTTAGTTACACAGCTTAGCTCAAGTACAAGCATTCCAGGAATATTATTCATACTTACGCTGATTAACATAAATGCAAATCATAAACTCTCCCTGCAGTGCTCACGCAGGCAGATAGCAAGAACAGCTGTAGAGCAGCGCAGAGCCGAGAGTTCAAATACTGGTGAACGCAGGGTCGATGGACGATGTACAGCTAGGAGTCTGTGTGGTCTCTGATGGGAGCACAAAGATGACATTCCCTCTGAACATGATCAGAGCGAGGTCATTTCCAGAGAATGTGGCCACTGCTGGGGTCCACACTGCAAAAACAATGCTGAAAAATGTCTCAGAAAAGGCTTGGCAAGTCTGGAAAGCAGGGTAGGCACTTCAGGACACTTGATTCGTCCAAGCAGAGGTCAAGGAGCATTTTAACCATGGTCTGCAAGCACTGACATGGGGGTGAGGTTCCTGAGGGAAGATATTTCCTTGGTCTCTTGGACAAAAACCAAGAGAATTCCAATAGCTAAAAGGAAATGAGACAGGCCCATGTTAGGGGACATGGGATTTTTTGCACTGAAAGGGATTATCCATGAGAAAGTCCTGCTTGGGTCAGGGTGGCTGTCCCATCATCTGAGGCGTTCAGACCAGGGAGACCAGGAGGATCAAGGCTAGTACTGTGTGAGGCTGCGGGCACATGCGTATTGATGAGTAACTAACTGCTGGGTTTTGTGGCTACACCACCAGAAGCTGAATGTCCCCTCTGGCCTGTCGGTCACATCTCCTGACAAGCGTGGCTGGTTCATTCACCCCATGGGCAGCAGTGGGACCTTTCCGATGTGGATGATGTTTGCCTCTGCCATCCCTGCCCTCCTGGTCTTCATTCTTATCTTCATGGAGACACAGATCACTACGTGAGTACCTCCCCTGTCAACGCCAACCATCACTAACTCCTGGGCAGGCAAGGCTGGGATGGGTGCTGGTGCCATTTGTGTGGAGATGCGCCTGGCATCCCAGCGGGACAGCAAGGGCAGGATCCTGGCCATTTCAGACTGTACCTTCTTGGGATCTCCCATCGTCTCTTGGCTCCCCTCCTGACATACAGTGTGGTGGAGCCTCAGCCAAGCACAGGAGGAAACCTCTAACCTGAGGTTGACGGCCACCATCCCTCTCCTCAGCCATGTCCTCGTTGTCCCCACGTGTGCTCTTTCCAGGGAGTGAACGTTGTCCCCAGCCGCAGTGCTGTCCCTGGGCACTGGGCTGGGCCCGGCACTGACCCAGGCTCTTTTTCCTCCCAGGCTGATTGTGAGCAAGAAGGAGAGGAAGCTGCTGAAAGGCTCTGGCTTCCACCTGGACCTGCTGCTCATTGGCACTATGGGGGGGCTTTGTGCACTCTTTGGGCTGCCCTGGCTGACTGCGGCAACGGTGCGCTCTGTCACCCATGTCAATGCCCTGACGGTCATGAGCAAGGCCATTGCACCAGGAGAAAAGCCCAAGATCGAGGAGGTGAAGGAGCAGCGTGTGACCGGAGTGCTTATTGCTGCCCTCGTCGGTGAGCCTCTGCTCGGGTGAAGGAGTGAGGGGGGAGGTCAGGGCCGACCACATGAATCTCCTGGCAGTGTCCCTGCCCCACGGGCCAGCCTGCGCTCTGCGCGTTTGCTGCAGGACTGCCCTCACCTACACTCAGCTCTCCTGTGGCAGCCTTCAGTACCCCGCCATGGTCAGTCCATCTCTGCAACCCTTCCAGCCAGACCCCCCCTTGAGCTTCCTTTCCCTTGCCCCTCAGGACAGAGAGAGAGGAGGCGGGAGAGGGACAGAGGCTGAGGTGCCTCGCGGAGGGGCTGGCATGGGACACACCATGCCCTGAGCTCTGTCTGTGCAGGTCTGTCCATTGTGATGGGGAACATGCTGCGGCAGATCCCGCTGGCTGTGCTCTTCGGCATCTTCCTCTACATGGGGGTTACATCACTCACCGGCATCCAGCTCTACGAGCGGCTGCTCCTGATCTTCATGCCATCCAAGCACCACCCTGACCACATCTATGTTGTCAAGGTGAGCGAAGGCAGGTTGCGGGGAACCAGGTAATGAGGAGCAGAGGAAGAAGAGGCAGGTGAGGGGAGGATGGTGCTTTGCTAGAGTGATGCTTGGCTTGGTGACTCCCCCCTTGGCTGCAAGTTTGTGCCGAGAAGTAAGTGCAAGCCATGCACAGAGGTGATGCAACGCTAGGATAGCGTGCTGATAGGCTGCATACAGGAGTGTATTGCCAGGATATTGTATGGACGGACTGTTTATAGGGGTGATGCATTGCTTGAGTGAGTGTAGGGACACTGCACTGCCAGGTGGGTATGCTGCTAGGTTGCACAGAGGCTGATGTGTTATGGAGTTCTGCCTTGCTGTAGAGTACAGGCAGCTAGAGCGTGCAGCAGTGTTGCGTTACTGTACTGTGCTATGCAGAAGGGTTATGTTTTGCCAGTTGGGTCTTCATTAATCTGTGTGGAAAGATAATGTGTTCTTTGACTGGATTTACCTCCCTAGGTGAAGACCTGGAGAATGAATCTCTTCACCTGCATTCAACTGGCCTGCATTGTGCTGCTCTGGGTGGTGAAATCTACAGTGGCATCCCTGGCCTTCCCCTTCATCCTGATCATGACAGTGCCATTGCGACGCTTCGTGCTGCCCCGCTTCTTCCACGATAGGGAGCTCAAAGCGGTAAGCAGACAACTGTCCTCACAGTCTAGCTTGCGACACTGGGGTGAGGTTGAGGAGATTTGGCAGACTGAAAGGCTGGGAGATCCTGGGCTGGCAAAGCCTTGGCTTTCCCTGCTGTTGTCTGGGGGTCTTTGTTCAACAGCAATAGGTGGGTGGATGGCTTCCTCCGAGCTTGTAGCCCTGGGAGTGTGGTGTGGGATGGATGGGCACCCTAGGGCAAGCAGACAGAGGATCCTACCATGCAGAGGCCTGGAATGAGGGTCAAGGCCCCTCATTCATCAAGAGGCACCCCATTTCCCCACTGAGAGAGCAGCAAGGACAGCCCAGCAGCACACCAGATCCTGTGGCTGCTTGGCACAGGAGCACGTAACCACAGTGCCAGAGTTGGAGCTGGCATTCGAGTGCTGGCAACTCTTCTGCTGCTGCCAACATCCCGAGCTCCTGTTGGAGAGCAGCCTGGAGCAGCACCCAGAAGTGGGTGCTGCCAGCAGGGGAGGGGGGAGGAGCTGCTGTTCTGGACCAAAGCCCCAGTGATGGGCACTGTCAAACAAGAACACTTACAGGAAAGGGCATCAGGCTGGGGACGCATGGACGGGCATGAGGGGCAAAAAAAGGAGGCTGTTGGGAGGGGAAGGAGCAAGAGCTTTGCTCTTCCCAGCGCAGCCCAGCTGCCTGGCTTGCTGCGTGCTGATCCCTCCATGCCAGGCTTGACCCCGCGCTGGGGGTGGCTGTGGCCCTCAGAGCCCGGTCTCTGCCTCTCCCCAGTTGGACTCAGAGGATGCGGAGCCGAACTTTGATGAGGACGGCCGGGATGAGTACAACGAGCTGCACATGCCTGTGTGAGCTGGGAGCTGCCCTCCCTGCTCATGGGACAGGCCGCTCACGCCTGCTCATCCCTCCCAAGGACTAACTGGAGACTTGCTGTGAGTCACGCAATCTCTTGCCTGGACCAACGAATGGTTGTTCTGTAGCCCCACAGGAGGCAGCCCCGGCTCCTGCTGCCCCATCACTCGCTCAGCAGAGGCTGTGAGTCTCTCTCCTCTTGGACCTGGTGAGCTGAGAGATGCCTCTCACACCCCGAAGCTGTGTGGGTCCCGAGTGCCTGTGGGTCAGGGGTCTGCTCCCTCCCTGCTGGAGGCAGCCTGTGCCTGGTCTCCAGGTGGTGAAGGGGAGCCATGCCAGCTGGTGCCACTGTGTCCCCCTCTGCTACCATGAAGCTTGGGTGTCTCAGCACCACGTGCCACCGAGCAGTCACAGGGATGGGCTGGATACTGCCTGCGGACCGCCAGTGGGCTTCACCCAGGCCAGCAGCCTCCTCACTTGACTGGCGGATGCCTTGCTTCTGCTCCCTCTGCCCCCTTCCAGGAGTGCTCATGCTGGGCCTGTGCCACAGCCCCTGGCCCATGGGGCTGCTGCAGCCTGACAGAGGGGCAAGGAGGGACCAGCACCCTGGCCCTGTCCTCCAGACTATCAGCTGTCTAGTCACCCTCCCACAGGACTGTTTTCAGCTCTTGCTCGGCATGGGGGAGGCTGTTTGCTTCCTCCCAGTTTTCCCAACCCTCTTCCCAAAGGAGAACCGCACAGGAAGGGGAGGCTGGGGACAAGCAGGTATCCTGAAGCTTCGAGTGCCTGCCCTCTTGCAGGGACTAAGAGGAGTCCTGTGCCATTCTGCACCTCCACAAAGGTTGCAGGGGTAAAAACTCATCACACGGCTGCATCCCAGTTCCTGATCACCACGTTCCTTTCCCTGAGAACAAACCATATTTAAGAAGCTATACAAGAGATGTAGTGCTGGAGCACAAAACAGTCCTTTGGGTCCCCTCCCTTTCCTGGTGCAGTGATCCACTGGGTCTGGCTCCCTGCAGCCCTACAAGGAAGTCACTGAAACCCCCAGCCCCATTCTGCTGCCATATTGGGGTGACCTTTCACATCCAGGGGTGTCCTCCAAGTGGGAAGGAGCAGCATTCAACATGCCCAGCACTCAGCCCCCATCACTTCTGCACAGCTCCGAACACCTTTCTGCCCGGCAGGGCTGTCCCCTGGGGTCTCCCCTTGCCGTTAGTCCCCATTCAGAGCTGCCTCAGAAACTGCTGACGGTGCTCTTGCTGCCCTTGGCAGCTCTGAGGGTAGTGCCAGAGGAGATGGGCACCTCAGCCTCTCCCTGATGGTCGGAGCCGGAGTGGCCTTGTGGAGGAGGCTGGAATGCTCGCTTCACCATTGGATTTGGGACAAGCCGCTGCCCCGGTTCCCGCTTATCAGCCTGGCTCCTGCGAGAGATGGTGGGTGCTTCATTACCGGGAGGGTCCAACGCCTTCCCCGGGAGGCTGCAGAAATATCCCACCAGAGAGAGAAACCTCCCCCGCGGCAGGTTCCTGCCCCACAGCCTGGCCCCTCCGCAGGGCCCGGGGCGGAGAGACAAGTGTCTCTGTGTGTCTGTGGCTGTGTGTGTCCTGTCTTCCCTGTGTAGTGTAGGAGGCCTGTTGTCGCTGTGCATTGTGACTCCTCTGACTGTAGTGGAAACGGCTACACCAATAAACTCTTCACAGGAACCGCGTCTGGCTCTCCGCTTTTGTTTGTTAATTGGCAATAAATTAAATTGATTGAAATTCCCTGACACAAAACTGTTTCTTGCCCACAACAGCAGCCAGCGAGGGAGCAAGCCCCAGGTGAAGTGGGGACTGTCACCTTGTCAGCCACTACCAGCACAGAGGTGGGCTCTCCACCACCATCACCAAGCAGGCTGGTTACTGTGGGCCTAGCTGGAGCCCCCATGCTGGCTGCTGGAAAGAGGAGGCTGAGCCCCATATTTAACCAGAAACACGTATTCATGCCTGCGTGCATCCATGCACGTGCGCATGCGCGTGCCTGTGTGCTCAGCAGCGCTCAGTGCCCATCTCCTTACCCAGCCTGTAGCCACACGCCAAACGGCAGGGCCGTGGGCTGAGAATGGAGGAAACATCTCATTAAACACACGTTCCCTCCACACTTTCTTCCCAGGCAGGAGTCAAGCCAGGTCCCCATGAGCTGCTGGGTGCCCGCGGCCCGCATGGTGATGGGTTGGATGTCCTCCAGTCATGCTCTCCTGGGCACTGCTGCTGGGAGTAGGTGGTGGTCCCACTGCCTGTGGTCAGGGTTGCTGGCTGCTCCTGGGGCTGGC